TCCGGGTCTTTAACGAGCTGCTGCTTGTGGAACCATATGTATTAGTCTATTATATTCGTTTTGCTGTTGCTGTTTGTTTTCTTTTGTTTCTGTGCCTGTGTGGCGTACGGCTTGCGCGTGGCTGGTTTTTGTTTGCCATTGGCAAAGCAATTGGGTCATCGTTAGGCACACGTGTGGCTCGTTCAATGTTTCGCTTTTTATTTGCTTTGCTTGTCGCCATCATAAATTTTTATCGCCTAGCTGGCAATTCAATTGGCAATACTGCACATTTAGCAAAGCCCATAACGTCTATCGTCTCTCCCATCTATATACATGTATATATACATGTGTATGTACGTATTTCTTTTATTGATAAGTCCTATTTGTATGTATAGACGTCTCGTTGCTCGCGACATGGCTCTGTTTATCTTTTGATTTCGATATGACGCTTAGGTCACTTTTCGTTAAGCGTCTTGCCCAAAAATCGGACACGTTTCGCAGCCACAGACGTTTGCAATTACAAGACATTCGTATTGTCCCAGCCACAGTGTAAACATTATATTTTTATTACTTTTATACAGGCGGCTCGACTGCTGTTGCTTTGAGATCTCCAGCCTTTTTTATTTCCTTGCCTCTCACGGCCTCGAGATAACATGGAAATTATCACTCCACTTCTGTTGTTGTTCTATTTTACTATTTTTTAATTGCACACGCTGAACATTTTAGTTATCCGCAAACAGAGCGAGCTGACGTCAAAGTAAAGAACAATGTCCAAATAAGTCTGCATAGATTAGGGCCTTAAGAAAACGAAACGAAAAGGAATTCAAATACATTTAATATATACAATTCTTTTGAATTGTGAACAAATGAAAAACAGAAATACTTTTTTTTCAATATTTTTAAATTTTCTTCAATAAAGATGTTAAACTCATGTTTCAATCAAAAATGAAATACCGCTAATATCTTTAAAATAAAATAGTTTCAAAGAGACTTCAAAAAAATAAAACCCAAAAATTAAAGGAATAGTCTTGTGAATAGTCTGCCGACTAGGTTTTATATAGACGGTTTATTTAGTCTTTGTTTGGCCATTTGTACATCAAGTCAAGTCGGAATGATAAACATCAAACATAAACTTTTAATGCCCACAGTCCGGCCATAAAATGAGCACCATTCATGTCTGGATATATGTAGAACTCAGACGAACGCACTGAGCGTAAGCAAAACTTTTGTGGGTAAATATGCCATGGAAAGTTTTTTGCATCGTTGTTGCTTTATTTTCCTCAGAAATTCCATTGGCCGAACTATTCGAGATTTTCGTTGGCGGCGTCGCTTGCAAATAAAGATTCGTTTGTTCTTTATGCCTATGATCAACGGCACGTGCAAAGGTGTTAGATTGAGCCGATGACGTAGGGGCAGCTGATGGCACAGTGCTAACGAGCCAGTGACCGTGACATAGTTGGCATCGTTTAGTTTGGTCAGATACTATTGACATTTACCTAATTACTCAGCATGTGCCACACAAGGCTTGCTTGAGGGACGGCTTACGTGGCGTATGCGCAATGCGCATTAAGAAGCTTCCATGCCAGAACCACAAAAAAAAAAGCAAAGAAGAAAGTAAAGCAGTCGCTTAAGCTAATGAATGTCGAGTTATCACATGCTTAAATATTTAAAAGCAACGTTATTGCGGGAATTGTCCTCGACATTTAAACAAATGAAGCCCATGTGCCATATAAAACGCTTTTCATGGCCTGCGTGCTCACTAAAATGTGCAGAAAGCCAGACGGCTACACGTATGAATGTCTGGCTGTGCGTGTGTGGGTGTGTGTGTGACATCTCATAAGCACAGCAATGAGCTCTGCCCCCCCTCTCTCTCTCTTTCTCTCTCTCTCTCGCTGTGTGCGGCATCCCCTGTCCACCCTGAAGCGTCGCAGCGTGATATGTGCGCCAAATAAACCTCAATATGACAACGCCTTCAAAGCAAGTTCGGCCGCGAGAGTTTTTTGAACTTGTGTTTTGTTTGTTGTTTTCTTTCTTTTCTTCTTTTTCTTCTACTTCTTATTCACTTCTTTTATTTTAGAGCGTTGACAATCACAATTTCATATGGATTCGGGGCGAGGCATAGGCCTTTGTTTGCCGGGGCCTTACAAAGTAATTGGCCAGAAACGCCTCAACAATTTGAGCGGCCAATTTCCCGTTTTGTCTCAAGAGTCAATGAGCTGTAGGTCTTTGTTTTCTTTTTTATTTAAATGGCTGCCAAAGGGGGACGGACGGGGCGGTAGGGACAGCCAATTCACGATAGCTGCCGTGTCGTGTCCAACAATTATTTGGCTAATTTATGCACACGCCGTGGCAGTTCTCATTATGGCCATTGATTGACACGACCTCCAGCCTCCTGTTAAAGCTGTAGCCACAGCTACAGCTACAGCCACAGGTGACGGTCTACGCGTGTTTCAAATTGTTTTCAAAACACCTGACTCATGTACACGTAACACACACACTCACACATACACACAGACATACACACGCCTCTTACGTCTAGCTACCAGCAGTTATGTATATCTAAGGAAGATAGCGTATGAGTCAAAGTTTTTATTATATTGTGTTTTCTCGTTATATATTTTTCATTTTTTTATTATATTTTTTTTTTTTTACTTTGCTGCTGGCAGCGGCACGTGTTGCTCGTTCTGTGTCCAGTTCAGGGCAGAAACAGGCTAGAATGATCAGACCACTTTGTGAGTGGAATACGCAAGGGGGTTTTATATCATGCGAACCTTTTTTATTATTTATTTTTATGTAAGTGATAGATATATCGTGGAGACATCTGACTTTGGCATGCATTACGAGTGGAAGCGTTTAGCAGTAAAAGCAAATAGCCCTCAATTATATTTTAGAAAACTAACTACTGTTATTTTAGTTAAAGGGAATATAATATATTAAATAGACAGCTTTCAGTGTTTTTTTTAATGCTCTTTATAATTATAGTAAAAATTTATCATACTTTGTGTGGACTTTAAAGATTATAAAGAATACGGATATTAATTTTTATAAATATATATTTAATGATATATAATATAATACATTAATATGAGTTATTAATAATATTTTTGTAATTAGTTCGAATTTTTGTTGGTAATATTATAATAATAATATATATTAATACATATTACTAGAATATTTATGTATATTAGTTGGAGTTTTTGTACAATTTTGCATATCTTTTGTCAATTAATTTAATTTGACTATTTGTTATTAGTAAAATAAATAGCTAAATCATATGAAAGTAGTAAAAAAAAAAAATACATATATATACATATATATTTCCATAAATCTGCACTTTAATCTTAACAGTAATTATATATGTATTTTTTTTGTGAGTGTATTTAATCATCGACTGCTGGGCATCTACTCTGTCTTCCATTCTCTTTCTCTCTATCTCTTTTTGTCTTTTTCACATGTCCGATTCATTTGCTTATGGCTTGCGAAAATATGACTCAAATTTGGGCAAAAATGTTTTTAGCCTGGCTGACAGAATGGCTTTCTGGCTGGCTGGCTGGCTGGATGGCTGGATGGCTGGACCACCCGGCCAACCCCTTGGAAATGGCGGCGCGTGCACGTCAAATATGCCATTGGGGCTATTCGTTGAGCTTGGTATACGTTACGCTTCACGGTTTTTGTTACATTTAATGGCTGAGATGCTGGCTCACCCAAAAGCCAGCCAGCCAACCAGCCAGCCAGCCAGCCAGCCCAGGATGATGGCCTCCAACCGAATTTCGTCTTTCACCGGATGTTTGAAGGGCCAAGCGAAATAAATACGAAATTTGTATTTTGAGCTATCCATATTGGCACATCGACATGAATTCTGTTTGGCTTTGCGAAATCCGCTTAGTCGATGCCGTGCCACGGCCTCGCATAAGTATTCCAAATGAAAATGGCTCTTGATGGTCGCGTTGCCGCACACTTTTCAAATGTAATTACACTCAAGAGATACACGTGCCGGCAATAAGATCTTTGTTGTTGCTATTGTTGATGTTGTTGTTGTTGTTGCCGTGACTCTTCCTCTTCCTCTTCCTCTTGTTGTTGTTTGTTGTGGGCTTTTCAATTTGAATTCGGCTGCCTGAGGCTCATCGGGCTGACAGCACAACAATCCCAAAGCCACAACAATAACAATAACAACAACAACAACAATAACAGAAATTTGCATGCGCGCCAAAATGTTGCCTATCGATATATATTTATATATATATGTATATAAGGTATACTCTATAAAGTCTATTTTAACGTTTCTTTAGCTCGTAATAGCGTCTCAGACGACGGCTAAAACGTTTTCTTGGCCAAGTTTGTTTACCTATTGTGAAATTGGATCGCGACTACTAGCCATGGCCAGGGCTTGTGCACGGTTTGTTGGAGCATGGCTAATGAGTTTTAGCCAGCAGATACTTTAATGTAAACGCCATTATTGTTGTTGCTGTTGTTGATGTTGTTGTAGATGCCCTGTTGCCAGGGCTTCGCGTGACAGCTTCAGCTGAGTCCGGCTCCAGTTGCGGAAATTCGGGGCACCGCCTGTTTATCTGCCAGAATGACTAATGTACTGCAAATTTCGAGAGATTAAGGGCTGAATAGCACAATAATAATATTTAAGATGCTTAACAGAGCGCCGCAAACAATGCCACAGAGAATAATTTATAGACTAATGAAGGCAAGTTGAAGGAGCTATAAGAGCGCTCGCTGCTCGACTTGAATCTACAATATCTCATCGGTTGATTCATTTTTGGCACATGTCAAATCTAATTAAATTTTATCCCAATTCCTGCACAAAAAAAAAGTTAATTGTTTAATTATATAAAAAAAAAAAAGTTGATTGAACTCGTGGCGGCTATAAAATTGTTTTTTTTTTTTTTTTTTGCTCGCATTACGTGGGCTTGACGCTTGGGCTGCAAGTCAATCAATCAATTATTCAATTTGATGGCCAATTAATTTTGCATTATTCGTTTTTCTTCCCTCTCTCTTTCCGTTGTTTGCAGTTCGAATGGCGCCTACCGTCTGCTCGGAGAAGAAGGTGCGCTTGGCGGCCATCAAGGAGGGGCGACGGCGGAACAACATGAGCGCGGCGCAGGCAAATGCTTCCACGTCGGCAGCTGGTGCTGGAGCTGGAGCTGAGATGACACCGAGCAGAACTGAGCTGAGCTACGGTGAGTAAAACTCTGGACAGTCGCACATGGCGTATACGTAACACGAACTGAACTTTGCTTCTCCTTTTACCTCAATTCACCCTTTGCGTTTTACGTTTTACGTTTTGCGTTGTCATTGCTGTTGTTGTTGTTGCCTTTCAAATTATAGCATCCATTTACAGCGTGTTGTTGTTGCCGCTGCTCACGTTTCGCGAACTTGTTTAATTAATTTATGTAAACTTGGCCGGGCAGCACTCTTGTTGGCCATCTTCGGTTGCAGTTCATCGGAATAACAAACACCATGCAGCGCACGTGTGTCGATGTTGTGTACGCTTCACGTGCTCCCAGCTTCATGTTGCCGCCGGTGTTGGTGTTTGGTTTGGCTTGGCTCGTGCCCCAGTTATGGCAACAATTTGCGTCAGCAATGCAACAACCAGCATCTAGCATCCAGCATCCAGCATCGAGCACTGAGGTCTCTTTGCATGCCACATTTATATAAGAGCTCCTTGGGCACATGACTAGATAGCGAATAAAAGGCGATTGTAGTCGACTGCAACAAATGCTGGAAAATTCCTTGAAATTTACGATGCTACAACGAGGCAGAACAGACTCTGCCATGACGATGCTAAAAATATAGCCAAAGGCAATAGAAGCCACGAGGCGCATTAAATGAACTGGGTTAAGTGGTACAATGAAAATCCTTTTAATGTACCGGAAACTTCAGAGCAAGTTAGAGGGAGAGGGGGAGCGAGAGATGGAGAGGCAGAGAGATAGAGAACGAGAGTAAAAACAAAGAGATGGAGAAGGGAAGAATAATAAGAGCGATATAAAGAGTTTACGATTGTAAGCCGCGAAAGGAAAGAGAATAGGAATAGAGAAATAATAGAGAATAGAGCAAAAAGAGAACGTCAGAGGGAGACAGAGAGAGAGAGAGAGAGAGAGAGAGAGAGAGAGAGAGAGAGAGAGAGAGAGAGAGAGGGTGAAATAAAGAGAGAAAAAAGGAGAGACAAAGAGAAAAGCAGAGAGTGAGAGCGAGAGTTGTTGAGAGGACTGTAGAGCGAAGCAACGAAACGGAGAGGATAGAAAAAGAGGGAGACCGAGAGAGAGAGGGGTTAAAAAAAAAAGATAGATAAAAATAAGGAAGGAAGGGGAAGAAGAGCGTCATGAGATGAGAGAGATTGCAATACACTAGAATAAATGACAGAGAGAAAAAGACAAAAATATATATGGAGAGAGAGAGATAGTGAGAGAGAGAAAGATAGAGATCGTCCGAGGATACATTAAGCATACGACTAAATCATGAAAATGTCATGGAAAGGCGATACGAATTAGATATTTAAGTAAGAGGACAATACGAGCATAAGTTGTACAATGTCATTGCATAGCAATATGAGAACTAGAAAACTACAAAGAACAGGCTTATCGTACATTTGAAATGATGATAAGTAGATATACCCAAGAGTATGTATATGAGGAAATATGCAAAGTAAACTTAGCTCGAATTAGAGCACACATCGATCAACGCATCATTGATGTACTGTTCATATTGTGTTCTCAGCAGGGCCCAATCATTCATCATAATGTGACACTAATTGACCAAAAGCTCTTGCATTGCTCATATATTGCCGAAATGGTAAATGCGATAAAAAGCAACACAAACACTTTGTGAGCTGCAGAGCCAAGCGTCTTGAATGAGCTCAATAGCAGAATCTAGCATAAATATTGTATAAGCATTTTATTTTCACAAGAAATATTTCCTACACACGGGTCTTCAGTGTGCGTGTGTGTGTGTGTGTGTGTGTGTGTGTGTGTGTGTGTGTGTGTATGAGTGTGTGAGTGAGTGTCGTAACCTTTATTTTGTTGCCATTTGGCGTGGCACGTTTTCTGTTGCCCTTTCATTTACTGCTGTTGCTGTTGTTGTTACTGTTATAGCAGTAGATGTTGTCGTTGCTGTTGCTGTTGTTGCTATTGTTGTAGTTGTTGCTGTTGCCACAACTGTGCTACTTTTGCTAGCTTATTTACAATTTTCCCACATTTGTTTGAATGCTTTTAGCTTTTGCCGACTTGGCTTTTTATAGCCGTGTTTGTTGTTGCAGCGTTTATTGGTGCCATATTCAGCGCAATTATTCCAAATGATTTTTTTTTTGTTCGTATACCCCGTTGTTACATAAATGCCAATCGGGTATATACGTACGCAAATTTGAAGTCTTTGCTATATAATTTCGTGCTCTAAGTACCTTGTGGTCTAAGTCTATCTCTAAGGTATTTTAATAGGCAACTCGTAGTCGCGTGGCGGATTTCATCATATGAACCTGGCTTATAATGAGGAGGCTTCTTTCATGTGCCATATTACTTATTAGGCTCTCATTTGTTCCAAGTCTATTTCTAGCTTCGAATGAGCATGTCGCAGTCGCTTTTGTTTAGAGAGCTTTTTGTTTGCTTTATTTGTTATTGATATTTTTGTTGTTGTTTTTTTTTTTTTTTTTTGCTTTGTATTTCCTGCTAATTTCCAGCAACACGTTAAAATGTTGAATACTAAATGGGTGTGACGAAGCCACGTGCAGGCGTCTATGATGCCCTGGACCCGCCGCTTTACCCTCGCCTAGGTCAACGTAACAGCGTGGCTAACGACAGTGGGTCGCATATGTCTAATATTATTTGCAAATATAATGAATTGAATTGTTCTGATTTTTAATTAAATTCAGCCTCAACTGGAATTGCATTTGATTGCCCTTAATGAGTGTCATTTGCTTTCTGATCATAACTCTGGAATTCTTTTAATGCCTCGACAGACTTCAGAGAGGTAAACTTAAGTACTTGATAAGGCATGTCATGGCTTTGGTGATGTGATGTACATAGAGATAAATCAGTTTGCAAATATTACTTTTCTTGTTTGTATGATAAACAAATGAAAATATTTTGTGCTTGAAGTTGGGTAGAAAGACATAAAACGAAGCAGATTTGTTTAAATAAAAAAATAAATAAATAAATCAAATAAAAAATAGTACACAACAAATTAGCAGCATATAGGAAAATATGTACATATATAACTTAGCTTTAATTATTTCTGTATAATTTAAGCATATATTTATTTATATTGTTTGTTTAATTTCTTTATTCTTTTGAAAAAATTTGTAGTTCTTTTGTATTACTTTTATAAAATTTTCTTTGTGCCTGAATATTTTCGGCATTTATTTTCCATTTGTTGGTCTCACTGTTCATGGATTCAACTGTGGCTTGTTAGCTTTTATATTTGTAGACATTTGTTGCGACAATAAATGTCGTGCATTTAGAAAGCAATTGGAGCGGACTCGGAGTCGGCTGGCAACAGGGCCTCATGCTGTGGCTTGAGCATCGCTTGCTTTAATTAAGCATAAATGGTAACTAATTCGATGCGAGGGGTTGGCACGTGTGGCGCGCCGTGTTGGCGCTTGGCGAGGTCACATCGCAACAAACAGCAGCGCGCCAATAAACCCACAGGCCCCAGTACCTCAGACCTCCAGACGTGCGCCAATGTGCGAGAAGTGACAACAACAATGGCTAGTTAAATGTTCATTGACGTAGCGCAGTCGAGCAGTCGAGCAGTCGTCGACTGCAGGCAAATCTGTTCGTGGCGAACAGAACCGGAATATGGCAGTGCAGGAAGTAAGCACAGCTGAGCGAGCTCAGCGGCGGCAGTGTGGAGGTGAATAGCAACAACAACAGCAACAACTTGTATCGACAACAATGCAATCTAAATATTTCCGTATTAAATTGTAACTCTTACGTTGTCAGCGTTGCCTCGATTCGAATCGTATCGTAACGCTATGCACATGCTTCAAACACGCATTGAATAGGGCTTATGTTTATGTGTGTGTCTGTGAGTGGAGGGCAATGCTTGATGCAACAGGGTGGCAGTCACGGGGCGTCGAGCAGAGGATTTTCCTTGAATGCGCTGGAATAGCAGCAGTTGTTCTGTGATAGGATTATGTAGCACATGAAGCACATCTATTGTGTAGTCAATTTATATTTCCCCTTATATATGTATTTATTATACCGTGCATAACAATCGGATTGTGCAAGTGAAGAAAACTATGGATATATATAGGTAAACAGCTGTAATTAGAATTTATAATATTAGCAAAAGCAGCTAATAATAATTGAAATTGATATTAATAATAGCTAAAAAATGTATTCATTATAAATACTGTGTCAATATATTCTCTATTATTCATCGCATTATTTACCATTATTATTGGGAATATCAACATTATTATGTAGCCTTGCGAGCTATAAAACCTCTCACATTTCAGAATCGCAACCGGAAAGTCAATGATTGAGACTCTTAAACAACTCATTTCCTTTGTTCACCTTAAATAGTTTCTATAGTGATTTCCAAGCTCATTATCTGATGATGGTATACTTATATCAATATATAGTGAACTTCGTCTGGAGCCTTTGCCTTTGATTGAGTCATACGCATTGTTATTATACAAAGAACTGAAGTTACATTATCGTAATAATCGCCTTCATAATAGATGTGAAAAATGAGTACAAATATAGTTAATAAATAACTTCAACTTTGCCTTTTGATGTCAATTCAATATTATTAAATATTCTACTCTTTTTATACCAAGAACTGGAGTTACATTATGAAAATAATGACATATAATAATAGAATTTTATTTATACAAATATAGTTAATAATAAACTTCATTTTGACCTTTCGATAATGATTCATTATTGTTCCATATTGTACTATTTTCATACCAAGAACTGCAGTTATACAATGAAAATAATTACATTCATATATTCTCCCGTTACCTGGCCATCGAAGCCTATTTGCTTTCGATTGTATTTTTAGCATTTATGTATATATATAGCACTTGCAGTGCGTCATCTGCCGGCACACAGACATTTAGACATTCTTGGTTTTAGCCATTGTGTTGCCCCCCGCGCAGTGCGACACGCCCTTGGGCCATTGTTCGCTCTCACGTTTCAGAGCACTGGGGCAGCGTATCAAAAACTGCTTTATTTGCGAAAAGCAAACGAAACGCTGAATGCGGTCAGATAGACTCGATTCCAGTCCCCCATCCACACACCCGGCACTGGCTCTGCTGCGGATGGGAAATGTGCAGTGCCATGTGCTCGAAGCTCGAGCCACCCGGCACTCGGCAGCCATCGCCTGACCCTGACCATAGACACACTCGCGGAAACACAAATTGGAATATGATTTGTTCTGAGTGTGTGAAGGGGGAGGGGTATGGGGGCGCACGCTGCTGTCTGTCGCTCATGTACTGGCATGTCTCACTCGCTGGCTCGTAATTGCAGTCGGAGTCGAGTGTGTGTCGCCCATGATTTGAGCAGTCGGCGACGAGCGCGCCAGATTGATGCGAGGCGCGTCACTATCGCTGATGTCGTGGTTGATTGCTGGCCCTGGCTGTGGTCACGTTTCTTGACACACACAACGAACACACTAATCGTAAACAAACACACACACGCATGTACACATAGACAGTTGATAATGGGCGCATTGGCTGACAGGCAAAGAGCAAAATATTGCAAATAAAATCATGGTAAAAATATCAAAAATAAAACGTACACAAATTGAATTGTATTAAAATAAAAATATGTACAAATTATTTATAATAAATATATAAAACATATGATATATATATATATCAAATAATACTTATAAAAAATATATAGAAAAAAAATAAATTAAAAATTTTTTATATAAAAATATATAAAATGCATAAAAATTAATAAAAATAATAATAAGATTGATAAATAATATCAATAATAACTTATTTATATGAAAAATTTTAACTTATACATATATATCACTCATATGTCCTTTATTTATTTTCAAACTGTTCGACTTTATATAATAATAATAATATCAATAAATGTTAATATTTTATATACAAAATTTCAATTTTGACATGCACATCAGTCATTTGATTTTTGTTTATATTTATTCCGTTCGATTTTCTTTAGAATATATTTATAGAATTTTATTCTTTTTTTTTTTTATTTTTTTTTATTTTTTTTTGCATAATAACTCGATTTAAAGCTTTGAATGAGGAGAATTTTAATTTGCTTTTTGTTTTTGCAAACTCATGTTGATAAGAATTATTTCGAGAATTCAAAATGGCATGGCATGGCGTGAAACAGGTCTTACGATAAAAATTATATTTTTATGTTTTGTTTACATGCTATGCGCGATAAAGCATAAAAAATCTTTTTTTTTTTTTTTTTCTTTTTTTTTTTTTTTTTTTTTTTTTTTTTTTTTTTATTTTATTTAAACAGGCTTTTTACTACCTAATTGGCAGCTTAACAAGTTGAACATAAAGACACAATTATTTACAGTACACACTACAGAAATTTCATAACAATAACAATATAACAATTAACAAAAACATCAACAAACAATAACAATTTTTACGTAAATCACATGCAATTTGACTTGATACATTTTTATAGGAACCTCGCAGGGAGGTCCTGTGGATGGCACTTCTTCAGTCTTCTTTTTCTGGCTGCTTTCTTAAGTCTTCTTGCCAAAGGGTTTGGGTGGCCTTCGAGTCTTGCAAGGTAGCTAGCAGCTACCTTTTGCATAACGTCTCCAACTTTGGGGACCCTGAGATCTTTTTCAATGTCCCTGGTACGCATATACCAGGGAGCATTGCAAATTTGCCGGAGGATTTTTGCTTGTGCAACTCTTATTTTATTGAGATTTGTTTTTGCCGCAATCCCATAGATTTGAAGCGCATATCTCCATATGGGGCTGAGTATTGCTTTTATAAATTGTCACTTTATTGTATAGTGACAATTTATTGGCCGGCTTAAGAAGCCATGACATCTTTGCGCTTTTGGACAAAACAGACTTTTTGACCATCGTGGTGTGCATATTAAATGTAAGCCTTCTATCTAACACTACGCCCAGATATTCGTGGCTTCTTTTGTGCGGTAGTGTTGAACCCTGCATGCTAATGCGACCACAGTTTAAAGGCCTTGTGGTAAACGTAACGTTTGCGCATTTGCTCCCGTTAATTCCAATGTTCCATTTGCACGCCCAGTCTTCAAAACTGCTCACATACTGCTGCAACGACTCTGTAGCTTTATTGATGCAGGTACTACTTGTCAGTACGGCTGTATCGTCGGCATACGTGGCTATCAGTACATTGTTCCGGTTTACTCCTGTGATGTCGCTATGTGAGGGCATATCGGCTGTGAACAGAGTATACAAGGTAGGGCCGAGAACGCTACCTTGAGGCACGCCTGCACATATTGGTCTTTTTGACGATTTAATACCATCAACATCAACCCTAAAGCTTCTATCTCGCAGAAAGCTGCTGACAATCTGGTACAATTGTGGAGTGAGAACGCTTCTAAGTTTGAATAGTAGTCCGTCATGCCAGACTCTGTCAAACGCTTGCCTTATGTCCATAAAGACTGCATAAAAAATCGAAAATCATTTTTCATTATTTATATAAAAACTCAATTCAGCTCCTGAAGAGAGCTGCTGCAGTTACAATTGCATACTTACTGGGTTTACGGGTGCTTGTCTTGGGAGAAAACATATTTTCTGGTATTGCATATATTGTAGGAGTGTGCGTGTGCGGCACGTGATTTATTGCGCATCTGTGCACCTTGAGTTGCTTGAACTTTGACATAGCTTTAACGTGTTTTTCTGCTTTTCCTTGCAGCCATCAAGAGTTCGACGAACTCAATAAATCGCGCACAACGCCGACGTGGGATCGCATTGCTGCCAACGGGCGCCAAAAGTGTGGCATCGTCTTCGAGTGCTGCTGGACTTGAACTGGAAAGTGAGAGGACATCAAAGCAGGCTGAGCATGTGGAGCGCATGGAGGTGGATGGCGTTTATAATAAGACGAGCACGTACTCAGCGCACACACATTCCAGCAGCACCTACAACAACAATATCAAAACAGTATTACAACCAACAATGGCCAACAACAACAGCAACAACAGCAACAACAGTAACAGCAGCAACTGCAGTGGAAGCAGCAAAACAACAACAGCCAAACATTGTGATCATGCCTCAGGCATAGGTGAGGATAAGGAGGACGATGACGAGGACGGGGACGGGGACGATGAGGAGGAGGATCAGGGCGATGGCGACAGCGGCTACGAGTTCGCCCTGGAGCCCATCAAGCCGCCGAATCCACAGCAACAGTATCACGCACACAACCAGGGCCTGCTGTCCATAGCCATCAAGACGATAAAGCTGGTGCAGCGCAACAAGCTGCTGCAGAAGCGCTTGGCTCAGCTGCAGCTGGAGACGTCCGAGTTCATTGCCTCGGTGCTGGCCAATCCCGAGAATCGGCACTTTCGTGAGAAAATCACGGCCAAAACAGACGCGGCCAATAAAGTGAGCAACGTTCTGCTGCGTCACTAAGCGACAAATAATACAAATAAAAAAATGCTGCATACTTTTGGGCGGCAGCTAAAAATGCCGTATTCCGATATGTCACAGCAATCAAATGAGACTCCTGAACTTGTTGTTGGGTCTGTTGGAAGCATATGATAAAAATACATTGGATTGATAATTAAAAATATATAAATAGATTTCCTTTTGTGTTTTTTGTATTCATTGTTTATCGAAATCGAAATTGATTGCTGCGACACGGAACTGAGCTGAGTTTCGAGCAATTTGTACTGATTACATTTATAAATTAACAAAATGTAAGTTAAATATTTGATTAAACACAAACATATAAGAAGAAGAAAAAAATACATAAACATATACATGAAAAATATTTATGAAACAAATGAAAAGTCAAGAATGAAACTAATTTTATATAGTCCCTAAGTACGTTTATGTTCAACATTTTTGTACATCCTAAAAATTTATTTATATGAAAATCATATTTGACGATAATCGACTAAAAATACTTAGGTTTCTAATGAGCAAACCCAACCGGCATAATCATTTTGCTTTTGGCTATAAACGGCAAATACTTGCATTAACATATACAATTTAAATGCAAAGCAATTGATTTATTAAACTTAGCTTAGCAAATCACTATACGTAACTAAATGATCGTCAGAAAAAATATATAACTATCTATGAATAAATATCATTGATTCAAATTGTAAGCCAAGCGTAAGCTATTCGGATCGTCGAGAACTACATTCATACCCCATGTATTTAGATTAAAATTCGAAAACATTTATCAACTGCATTTTCTACTTACCTAAATGTTATGATTATTATATTAGACTAGCGTGTAGAGAACCGACATGAATCGTGAAACAGATTTCTAATAAAATGCAAACATTTTACAACACAAAACACATTGACTTATTTATTGCGGGTTTCAATCCAACAACTTCAGCTTCAACTTGAACAACAAAAGGTTTCAATCATCGAGAGACCCACGCTCGGCGGTCGTGTCAATAACACCAATCATCGCGTTCAAAGACCGTCTCAATATTTCTGATGTTGCGGCTGTCAACTCAATCATAAAAATTATGATTATTGGGCTGTTCCCAGTAACGTGCGGCGCACTCCGAATTGAAGATTGTCAGGTAAATCTCTATGCAAAAATATGCAATGAAAAAGATGATATAGTTGGCAATAGGAAAAAAGTTTTGCTTAAAAACGTAATTAGAGTTTGACTAAAGTGCATTTACTTTTCTGACAGATTTATGCAGTCCATATATTTAGTTTGGCTTATAACTGGAACAGGTGTTATATGTCTAGTATGTAAAAAATATACACATATAATTATATGTACTAAATGAGCTAAACATAATTCATATTCCTTCAATTAGAGTTTTCTTTAGTCAAGTTTTTCTTCGAGAATTGATTTCATTGTTTAAATTTCTTTATTTTTCTGGAATGCCCTCAACATGTTGCGTGTGACACCCACACACATACACCTATCTCGCAGCTTGCTGGCATGCAATTTCGAATTACACTTCAGTTGTTTCAAGTTCATTCAATTAAGCCGCAAGAGACGAGTATCTGTCTGGGTCACAGTGTTTCGAGTGGCTCTTCGATTATTGTGATTGTGTGGCTCCTCTGGCCACATCGCTTATGGGCTCTTATTTATTTTTGGCTCAGACGGCATTTGTCAGATTTGTAATCATCAAGATATAGATATATTTGCGCCTGGTAATCATTATACAAAACTTTCAGACATGTATTTGCTTTTGTTTCTCGTGTTTGGTTTTTTCGAGTAGCTGCTGCAGCTTTTATTGTTATTACTTTTGGAGGTTATTTTCTGCTGAATTTTATTGCTATTGGGTGTTGTGCATGCTGTGGTTTATTGTGGTCTCAGCGCACGTCTTCATTTTTTAACGGCGTTTGGCATTAGACACGTGATTTACGAGCCAGGCGCAAATTACAGACATCGCGCTCATGTAGAGCGCACTTGACAATGAAAACAACTGTGAGAACTGTTGCCACGCTGAAGTTTAGCGCGATTTGGGTCTGTGTTTATGCACTTTAAGTATAATAATTTATAGTCTGTGTGTGTGTGTGTGATTAGCTTGCGAATGTCGTTGTTCAGTTGTTGTGGCACTTGTTGTTCCACTGGCCAGTCGCTAAATTGTTAATATTATTTTCGGTAATCTTTGCCGCTGACCTTGACAAGGTCGTTGCCAAGCATTTATTTGGCTGTCCAATTAGACTGCCGCAATTAGCACTGAATAATGTGACTTGATTCCATTAGGCTTGAATGGCCGCACTTAACTCGAAATAACATTTCCCTGGCCAATGCACCATCGATGGACGCAAAATGTTCTTGTGCGCTCCAAGACACGTAAAGTACCTTAAGCTGACGAAATACTTAATGTTCTATCAGCAACTCAGCATGCGTTGCCTTGTCTAGGGGTTTGCTCAAACAGTTAGTTAGCATGTGCATACGAATATGTATTTTATATTGTTTGTAAATTCTAATTAAAAGAACCCTGACAGCTTCTGAGCATTCGACGTGGCTAATCAATTAGTTCTGAAAAGCAAACATTTGTAAGTGTTTGTGTTATATACAAATATTTCATATAAGCACCTAGTGGAAAATTGCCTAATATACTAAATCGAAATTTGTGAAATAAATAAAGGAAAATAGAATAGGAAGAATGATAAAACGAATGTAAAAATGCAGCTTTCAGCTTTGAAATTATTTCAGTTTGATATGCAAACAAATCATTTCGCTACTAAAAAGGAAATTTGAAGCAATGCGAAATTGAAAAAGAGTTAAGTATGTTGAAAGATAAACGCTATATATAACGTGAGTATTTACAACATATTCTTCTGCAGATAATCTATGTAATAAAGGAAAGATAAATACAGTAGCTTCCGTTTACAACGACGCTCAAGGGACCGTCGTAATACCCGGAAGACACTATAGCCCTATACGCTTGCTCATATAAGTTTGTCTGGAGAACAGAATTTTCGTCGCAATAACTGTACTGACGTTACGTAGTCGTCATAACCGGATTCTACTGTATATTATATATATGCCCACTGAGGGTATTACAAGCCATATGAGAGTTGAAGAGCGTGGCAAATTGGATACTTTAGTTATTTTTTTATGCTCATTCACAAATTTATTTACTATTGTGAAATGTTCGTTTTGCTTCCCGTCTGTGTGTCTGTCTGTCTTCATATAGAAAAAATATATATCAATATTTGCAAAACATACTAAAAATTCTCTTCCTATAGGGTATTGCATTTTATTCTTGTACGATCAACAGAGAAATGAGAAAAATGAGATTCATATATGTATATTCTTTGCTTAAGATTTGTCTGTTTTTAAAGGAACTTAATAATACATGTAGTAAAATTTATATTTCTCATGTAATTATAGCTTATAATTTCCATCTCAAATACACTACTTAAAAACATTAATTTTTCAGTAGTATGTTTAGCTGAACTTTGGGGAAGCCCTGTTATACTTATATACAAATTTAATTTTGCGTCATTTGATATATTAATATTAAATTGACTGCGAATAAAATATCAAAAGTGCTTAATCATACTGCGCCTTAGGCGAATCAATTTAAATATACTATCACTTTTTGGCACTTGAACACATTCGTTGTTTATTGTTTAGCATATCTGCTTAAATTAGCAGGGCATTGTTTCAGCTTTTCATCTATTAACAATTAATGCTTTCGAGTGCTTTTCTGCGTGTCTGTGTGTGTGTGTGTGAGTGTGTTCGTGTGAGTGTGTGTGTTTTTGCACTTGATTAAAATCAAACAGCAGTCAATTCCACAGTTGCCAAGTCATGCGAAATGAATATGCATAAAATCTGTGCAAATATCAACTATGAACGTTTAAACAAAAAGCGCGCGAGAGTCGGCTGAAATGCATTGGCGGCAATTTGTTTGGATTTAAAGTAGAAAACCTATAGAAAATAGATATTTATTTATACATATTGTATATATCGATATGTGTATGTGTATAAATGAGTAACTGAAGGTCGCTGGCGCCAAAAATTGATTATGAAAGTCGCAACATCAGCAACGAAATGGCAAATCCGTCGAACTGAGGCCGAACTAAAGACGCACATATCTATGATGTTGTTTGGCCATTAATGAATAGCAGCACATTAATGTTTTACATATGCAAATGTCTATGGCTGAGCTTTCAATTTGTAATCGCTGTAACGTGAAGTCATCGCCATTAAAGCGCATAGATACAAGATAAACAGAGATACCCGGCTCGAGAGTGGGAGAGAGAGAGGGAATGGGACAGCGTTGACATTGAACTCGAGCTGTCAACAACAGCATCTGCTCCCGCGTCTTTAAATAGCGGAAGCACTATATATCATAGTTATATTTATTCGCAAGCAATTGCTAATAGGCAAATGGTTGATTAGCGCATGCTTTGCCGCCAATGGATGTCGAGCATAATCCAATGCTGTTAATCAAATGCCAGCCAGCCAGCCAGTCAGCCAGTCAGCCAGCCATGATATGCAAAACAAAAACATTTGGCTATGACTAAAATCGAAATTTATGGCGTGTGATGAAACGGAGCAGAGGCTGCCTGGGAGCCGCGAATCAAAATAAACTGAAATGAAATTTTTGCAAGTTCATGCGCTGAACTTGAAATACAAAGACGAGAGCCCCAACTGTTTCTTCGTGCCCAAACTAGTCCGGGCTACTGGGCCGCAGTCCAGCACCGGCGGCGTCTAGGTCTGCGTGTTGGAGCGAACGTAGCGCGTCAAACTGACCGACTTAACCGACGGGCAGCTACCCGTCTTGATTCGTGCCACATAGGCTTCGTCGTTGCAAGCGCCGGCAGCGGCGATTCATTTAACCAGCGGACAGCAGCGCGCGCGCATGCGCAGTAGCTGACGAGATCACCAATCAGCCAATCACAAGTCGCAAATCTAAAATCTAAAACAAAACAAGACATCGACTGCACAACGCTCTAGTCTATCCGTTAAGGAGAGCAGCACGCCCATTGCGTAAGTGCACTCTGAATGCAGTAAGCATAGGCAAACGTGTTTAGAATTTCGCAACTAATGAAGTGAATAAAATGTGCCACATGCACATATTTGGGGTCTGCTGAGCCGGATCTGTGTGAGTGAATTGCTGACTTTAACTGAAACTGCACTTGCTATAAACATGTGTGACATATCTCTGGCTATATTGGCTAAGAATAACATTTCATCAGCCAAAAGCAGACAAAGTGTGAATATTAAAATATTTATAAAATTGTGAACAGTGGTTGCATTATAAAAATATAAAAAATAACACATTTGGAATTTCTTAAAAAATAAAAGAATATTTCTTTTAGAATAAAAATATATAGAACATCAATTTGGTATTTCTTAAAAAATATTTAATTAAATTTATATTTCATTCGCACTACAAATATATTCAATACCAAATAAGTTTCGTGTTTTGTGTTTTATACAAGTGATTTGTGCATTTCGTAAGAATATTTAAAATTGAAATTTTGCATATGAATATAAAAGTATTCAAAAAAATTTTATTGCACAACAAAAAAGATAAAAATTTTCGTGTGATACATATTTAGTTTTTAAGTTTTCTTTAATATAATTTTGGTGTAAATTTAAGAAAAAAAAAAAAAAACTTAATTGAAGTGAGTTGTAATCTAAATTTCAGTTTATATATCAAACATGAATTTTATTATAATTATCCAATTATTTTAATAGGTTTTATTACTCGTATATGAAATCAGATTTTTGAGTTACTTCCATGCAGCTTTCGCAATTGAAAGTGCGCTTAAGCAAGTTTTTATCAGTTTTAAAAATAGGTTCATCAGTGTTATTTTCCCTTGGCCAATCGGCATGGCCAACTAATTAAATAATTCCT